ATAGTTATGTAATGATAAGTGCTGGAATTCATTACTGTGGTATTTGAAAGATAATTGAAGGTGAACACTTATCTTTATCTTATGAAAACATAATGTATTCAAATTAGGACCTCATTTGCATAATTTATTAGGGAATGCTAGAATGGCATTGTTTGTTAATATAAGACTGTACATTGCGAATATGATAAATTGATATCCATGAAAATGAGAATGGAAATGAGCACCCTATTTGTTAAATCAGGGGGAATAATCTATAATTTGTCAGTCATAAAGATTAACATCATTCGGCGAAGGTATGAGATCGGGGACCTCTAGTTATATTATAGTATAAATTTGTAACCCTTTTGATATACCTTGTTTAAAAGGATTTTTTCTTATAACGGATTGTTGTTTTAGTACTACTAGTATGTCAAAATGTGTGTGCTTTTAACACCGTATTGTATGTAGGAAGTTGTATTGTTTGTTTTTGAGGGTGCTAATATGATGCATGCATCAACGACTGATGAAATGTGTACCCTGAGCTGTAACTCACATTCGTATGGATTTATGTTTGATTATTTAGGAAGTACGTGAGTAAGGTATAGTTATTAGAAAAGAATGGTATCTGACGCAAGTCTTACCAAATAAGGATGAGCTTTTTAATAGGTATTGCCATATATAATAGACACGCTACGTGTACACCCAGTGGGTCTCCACCAGAAAGCAGACCGGGCGCTCGTCCAAGGTTCCCCAGATATCTGGTGTCTCCATATTCCACCTAACATGTCTGACTTTCCTCAGCGCCTTCACAAATTCACGGAGGCGCTGAAGGGACTTGTGCAGAACTACACCAAGGTCACAGTATGGGACCACAGACGTCTGTGGAGACGCAACCCAAATTGCAAACTACTTTGCGCCTGACGGCCTACACTTGTCCGATCTGGGAAACATCCAGTATTACAACAGTGTCCGCGGGGCTTTAGACCGCCACACGCTCCTACACAGCGTCCTATTAAAGAACCCTATTGAATAAGCGTGTGTGAGTCTTTTGTGCAATACATTATACAGCCGCATGATGGCTTCTGGCGCCTGGGTTCGTCACACAGACGATCCTGGGAAGAAGATCATGCTGGGCGAGGCAGACTGTCCAGGGAACGAGTTAATTATTGACGGGCCAATGCCCAAACTCCCTCCGTGGCTAAGTTCCTTTTCGTGACTAACTCCCTTCTGAGGTAACGGTAACGAACAAGCGTCGAATTTAAACAGATTTTTCACTCGTCTGTTGTTGGAGTGTACGAACTAAAACAAACTTTGTGAGATTACGGACATCATCACAAAAACTTTGTCCATTCTTGTGGTTATTTTTAGGCACGTGCTCCCATGCATAACGCCGCAACCAGGATTTTTCAAACTAGTACGGAATTAGGGGTAGGTCGGAATTAAGGCACCCCCTCAGGATCTAAGTATTTATCTCTGTTTATCGAGAGATGCTGTTTTCCCTAGCGTCGCCAAAGAAAGGTACTTCGTATAGGTCCGTTTCAAATAGTGTATTACCACTGTGACAACATTTTATACCCCAAAATAGGAATCTTGCGTCTTGTTTAGACCCGCTACGGTAGAAATAACGCA